CAAGGACCGACGAGAAATTCATATCCCACAAACATTCCCTCCATCAGATTCCACAACACTTTGCAAACTGTTCAAATCCCTTAAGAAACAGTCATGGTGGCAGAGCCAGAGCTGTAGTAACCCTCAACAGCAAGAATCTGGTAATCATGAGATCCAAGGTTCAAGCCAACCTTGCTCCAAGCATTAAAGTGAGCACCAGTGTTGACGGAGCCGCTGGATCGCTTGCTGCGACGGACAGACCAGTACTGCTGGAAAGTGCGGGTACCCTCGATGGAGGGGGCGTTGGTTCGGGTGCTGGTGTAGATGTCGTAGATGGAACCGTCGACGTTGACCTCTCCCTTCTTGGTGGCTCCAGAAGAGGGGTTGTAGGTTCCAAAGTTCTCGACGACGTAGTACTCGATCAGAGGGTTGCGGGTCCAGCCGTAGATGGCGAGGTAGCTATTGCCGTTGGGCTTGTAGGTGCCAGAGTAGTTGATGGTTCTGGGGCGGTGTAAGTATAAAAAGAAATGCAGCTTGGATCGACTTCTTACCTAGCAGAACCAGGGTTCCAACCCTTTCCACCAACAAAGTTACCCTGGTTGCCACTCCAAGAAACGCTAAACTTGCCAGCGTTCTGGTTAGTGTAGGTGACAGTGTTGGGGTTGTCAGTCCAGAAGGAGTAGTAGAAGCCACCGTGGGTGCCGGTGGAGCTCTGCGTGCGCTTAGAGAGGGCAGGGTTCTCAGAGGTGTCGGCCGTGGGGACAGCCAGAACGCTGGTGAAGGCAGACACAGCTGCGAGGAGGTAGCTGAAAGAGACCATTTTGAGTTGTGCTGGTGATGTACTTTGCGCTGGCAGGAGATGTTGAGTTGCTATACCAAGAAAGGTAGTTAGTGTATGGTCTATATATACGTCTCTCCAAGATCTTCTCAGCCTGAAGTCGACAAAGATGTCGGTATAGATGAAGCTATTAAGCTTCAAGGACGAAAGGAATTTCCTAAAAGAACCTACCGGAACAAAACAGAACAGGGTCCGTCGGGCCTTGGCTAGATTGATTTTACCGGTGAGGAGACCTAAGAAACAAAAAAGAGGTCATCAAGAAGTCCCGACCGGTTGCTTTTAATGTGTTCAACCGGAGCTCCCTCATGTTAATTACTCCGTGTGGATACCCACGCTCCCGGACCCCAAGACGAGACGGGTCACTCATCTCCGACTCACGAAACCTTGAACTAAAAAGAGGGGCTCGCTTTACCTGGTCCACGTTTGCACTACCGGAGGATCGAGGCCCGGGCCGTCTGTGAGAGACCTTCCCAGGAGGGCAATTCAGTGAGGCCATCTCGGGGCGACAGAAAGCCCACATGACAAAGGGCTGAGCTTCTAAAGGTCCCGGCTATTCTCGACAACGAGGTACCGTTGCATCGGCGTCCCCGCGTGCTCCGGGACTTGAATTTACCCGTCCAAACATTGACTGGGGAAATTTCCGTTATTAGAAAGGGGTGGTGTGTCCAGGGGTGGGCGGGAAAATTCAGCCTGAAACTGCACGTTTTGTTTCAGGCGCATCTTCCGAAAAAAAGAGGGTGTAATGCATAGTATAGTTGATGTATATTAAGCCACTAGCCGCGGCAAAGTCTCGCCGGCATCTGCTCATGTCTTGTCAAATGACATGATTGGTTTGTGGGAGAGTGTTGTATTCTAAACCGGATTTATGGAACTTTTGATTTACTTCTTGCAGAGTTGTACTCAGCTATATAGCCTCCTTGGCAGACTACCCTTTGACCGCCTCATGGTCTGATTTAGTTGCAGTCCAAAGGATCCTTTCTTTCACCATTTTACCTTCTCGCACATAATTCATAGCCAAAATGCCGTCATTCTTGAAGACCGCCGTCAACTTCCTCCTTCTTGCAGCTAGCGCTGCCTCTCTCCCCGTTGCCAACCCTCTGGACGTCTTTGAGCGTCAGGCATCCCCAGGTGTTGTCATCCGCCAGTGCAGCAAGCCTGGTGTCCTTGCTCTAGCCTACGATGACGGCCCAGCACAGTATACCTCTCAGCTTGTAGACATTCTCAACAAAGCCGGTGCCAAAGCCACCTTCTTCTGGACCGGCACGCTCTATGGCTGTGTCTACAACCACAAGAGTGCTATCCAGGCTGCCTATAACTCGGGCCATCAGATCGCCAGTCACACCTGGACTCACCCTCAGAACTTTGGCAGTCTGAGTACCAACGACCTCAAGCAGCAGATGCAGCGCTTCGAGCAAGCCATGGTCAACATCATTGGCAAGAAGCCCGCATACATGCGTCCTCCGTACCTTGCCACGGGCGGAAACGTGCTGCCTACGATGAAGTCACTCGGATACAAGGTCATTACCAATGACGTTGACTCTGGCGACTGGAATGGCCAGACCGCTCAGCAGAGTCAGCAAAAGTTCCAGCAAGCTGGTGCAGGCGGTAATGGCCATATTCCTTTGATGCATGAGACGTATGCCAGCACTGTGCAGACGCTTACGCCCTGGTTGATCAACTGGGCGAATCAGAACAACCTCAAGCTTGTCACTGTTGGTAAGTCATACCTAAACTAGTCCGAGAGTTAAATTTTGAGACTGACATTTTCACAGCGGAGTGCCTTGGTGATGCCAACGGTGCTTATCAGGCTGGAACATTTACTGGCAATGGCCAGTCCACTTGCTAGACGCACCAGAGTCCACGAGGTTCAGGTGATGATTTGCAGCGTAGTTAGCCCGGCCACTGAAGTGGGACTTTTGAGTTGGTCATGTTGGATACCAAATTGCTTAGGGGGAAATCCAACCGTACATATGATGAGATTTTTACCGGGTTACGAGATCGAACGATATTTATGCCATGTTTGATGCAATTAATCAACTTTCCTGTAATCGCCGCTCTCTCGGCAGACCAAGGACTTGGCCCGATTGCTGCAAGATGTAAGGAGCCAAATGTTGAATTAAGCACTCGTAGAGACGTTCAAGTAAAGTTTTGCCTTTTTTGCCGCTATTTTTTTGGTGGTCTTCTGTTCTCGAAGAGTTCAAGGGCTTTGTTTGGTAAAGTACCTTCCGCAGACGTCGTTGTAACAGTCTGTGGAACCGCGTGACGGTGAACAATGATCAGGGCAGTTCACTCAAATACAATCAGCGAGAATCACATTGATGTCTGACAGTGGTGACTGACTCTGCACGAGTTGCGTGTCTGTTGAGCACTGGCATAAATGCCAGTTATTCTCCTAGGGAGCAGACACATTGCTTTCAACACCTGACCACAGTTAAGGAAACAACAGAGGTTAAGTCAATCAACAGAATTTGTGCTACATGTTCTGACCAGGTTACACGATCCCGTTCATTTGGTGGTGATTTGATACGTGATGATCGTCAATGAGTCGACTCAAGGACCGGTGACAGCCCAGCGCTGACAACATGTCAGCCTGCAAATCTGCCAGGTGATGCTTGAAAACTGTCCTACAACCAGGGGACTTCATCACCAGCTAGATGACTGGCCCGTGATTTTCCCTTCAGCGTTCTTTGCTCAACTAATATGAGTGATTCATGGCATCAATCACTTAGAGCCGTCGTCAAGCGCAAGAGAGCGGGAGTCATATGTTCCATCCATCAATGAATCAACCTCTTAGAAGAAATATATAAGCTCTACCATGTCTTTTCCTCGGAACATCTCCAAATCAAATATACTAGCTCTCTACTCTCAACACAACTACTATCCCGGCCTATATACCAAAGTTAGCAATCTCGCACTTCTTAGCCGGAACCAAAATCTGCAACAACTAATCCGCGATAACTATACTATACCATGACTTGGCGATGTACCAACAATGGCTGTGCGTCAAAGCCCCCGAATCCCGCCGGCTCGACAGTATGCCTTAACTGTGGGTGTCGATGGGGCGTCAACCCAATTAAGACGACAGATCCTACCCCAGCGCCAGACAACAAGGACAAGGATAAGGGAGGGAAGAAGGAGAGTGATAAGGACAAGGAGAAGGACAAGGAGAACGATCCAAAGAAGTAGAGGGTATATATGGTCTGGACAGCAGACAGTTCAGCGGCGTGAGTTGGCCGGCATGTCCAAAGCGCTACCAACCTAGGGCTTTAAATATTTGGATGAGATTGAGTTATCGGGCATCATAGGGAAAGAAAATAGCCAATAGCATAAGCATATCGCTCACTAACCACAAAGTGATGAGCGGCTGAGACTCTAACAGTGACCCCAAACGATATGCATGCATTCCCTTAGCCGTAGATGGCTTTGTGAAGAGTGTTGTCTATGCGTATACTAATAATTGTGATATAGTTTTATTTCGATGCTATGGTTGTGTTCGAGAGCGTGTTTATTTGCAGGCGTGCGATGGTCTCGTTTTCTTCTTGAAATAGACTACCTAGTTTCTTCATTATACGATTTTCCGATATTGGGTTTGCCAACTCTTGATGTCGTTGTGTGTTTGTGTGTCTGCCTTTTATTACTACAGTTTTGTGGCTGCTGGCCTCTTTTGGAGACGTCATCGATGACACCATCGCAGTGAACTGCTCAGCAACCCTCGTCCTCCCACCAAACCTTTGCTCCGCAACATCTACGATTCCCTTGATACAGTTCGGGTGCCTTGTGGTGCTTTTTAAGCATCGTTCGTAAGCTCAGCTTCCCGTGCCCAATGCACATTAGTACCCTCTTGGGATTCAGAGACAAACAGCTTCAACCGACCCCGTTCAGAGCAAATAACGCTGGGATGTGATGTTTCGATGCTCTTGTTAAAGACTGGGTGAGGATTAGTCTGTGCAGGTTTCTACTAGTTGTCGGCTCTGAGTTAAAAGCAAGCTGCCCTGCGCATGGCTGGTGACAAGGCTGAGGGCATGGAGTTATGTCAAAGTAACCTATCCTGCGTGGAGGGTAATGGCAGTAGGCTAACCTTAGTCTAAGAAAGGTACCAATTAAGCAGAGGTCACGGTGGTGGTAGTAAATCGCGCAAATGTCGATGGACGGGGGCAAAAAGGTCAAAAATGAAATTTCTGATTGAGGGACAAGGGATTTGAACCCTTAACCTTCAGGAGATTCCAGTTTGCTGGAATCTGACGCGCTACCGTTGCGCCAGCCCCCCTTGTTTTGTTGAAGAAGCTGGCTGAAAATATCGCCCAAGAACGTGGTGTTGCAGACTCTTCGTTCTACCTACACGATCTCAACTCTCTGGAACACCAGTTTCTGAGCAACTTTACCATCCATGGCTCCTTCCAAGTAAGTTTCGCCGACTAAGATCCATCCACCAGGCCCTTGTCGTAACACAAGGGGTACATGAGCCCCTGCTACCAGGCCCACCACATCGCCAACCTCCATCCTTGCTGGGCCGAGACCCAAGAATCCCTTCTCCGTGATGAACAAAACTCTATCCATTCCAACATCATTCATAGCTGCAGGAAAGATGTCTCCTTCTTCTGGGTCTGGTTTCTTCTTCAGATGCAGATCATGCTTGACACCGGATGCGGACCCTGAGATGCGAGCCAGGTAGTTTGCAAAGTGAGCTTCGCATCCTTCTGGAGCAGGATGAGAAGTGAGCCAAATATTCATCAGCAGAGTCCGGCAGAGTGCGCTTGGCACAGTAGTCGAAGGTTGGTGTTGATATGGGATATCCGCCAGACGACTCTTCTTGGGATACCACGAACGAAAGGCTTGATAGAAGCCCGGCTCATCCTCCTCAGTCTTGGGCAGTGCAATCGCAGCTTTGACCGTGTCTAGCAGATGTGCTTCCACAGAAAGTCTCTTCCCATCAGGAGATAAAGAAAACCCTCTCTGAACCTTCGAAGCGGCGTGGAAAATCCTCCAACTAGGATCATGAAGAGCCTTTCCTCGAGCCTTCTGAGCTCTCATCTCCCTCAAGAAAATAGGTTCCATAGCAACAGCGCTCGCCATCTTGGGAACCCAGCTAGGATATCTCACGCCTTTTCCACTCCAGTCTGGCTGCAGCGCTTCATCAAAGACGTCTTCTTTTGGAGGCGCAAACTTTGGATCTTGCTGAGGGAAGCGCTTCTTGGCTTTGTACTGATCTATAAAACGGTTGCCGATTGGTTTCTTGGATTTGAACTTGTATGATTCCCTCGGGAGGGGGTGATTGACGAGAGAAAGGACAAGTAGCCCGGCTTCGCCTCGCAGAAGACGCTGCGCAAGGTCGATGTAAAAGTCTCCCATATTCCGGTTATCGTAGTCGGGTTTGAGAGGAGGTTGGCCAATAGACTCGGGATCAGTAATTCCGAGGAACGCCCAGGCTTTGTCTCGCGGGTCGCCCGCCATCCTCGTTGCTCCAAGCATGGCCACATCGAGAAAGCTCAATCTGGTCCCGTGCTGTTTAAGATCAAAAATGGATGGTTGAAAAGTGACCCAAGATGGGATGAGCTTGGAAGAGCAATGGGTTGCAACAAAGTAAGTCCAGTCCATTACCTTTTTAAAGTCCTCAGTCGGCACTTGGGCTCCATTGTAGAAGAAGGCATAGTCCTTTGAGAGAATAAACTCCTGCACCGTCCAGACCCGACTCCACCAGCTCTCAGTGACAATCGTAAGAAGGCTGATCCATGAGATGAGTTCAGACCCAGTCGAAGTCGCATCAAAGAAAGCCTTGGCGGTCTTGTATTTCTTCCCATGGAACTCGATGTTCGCGTTGTCTGGGTTGGCAGGGAACGAAGGCCACAATTTTAGAATCCTCAAGGCAGTGTCCCGCTGAGTGTGCCTTCTTCCAATCCAGACAAAGACCTTTTCCGCGGCACTGTATATCTCACCCATGCGAGCAACCTGTGTAGCTTTCTCGTTGCTATCAGTTTGGTTGATGCACATGGCATCTACCCAGATAGGTCTCCCATCGAGATACTGTCGAAGACCAAGCAGGGCAGCGTGCAAGTTGGCCCCGATAGAGAATCGACGATCGTTGAGGATTATATCAGCGCTGTCTGAATGGCTGAACATGGGAACTTCGAGTTCAGTCTCGCGAAAGTCGCGACCTCGATTCATCATTGGACCAAAGTCGGCCCAGACGTACGAGAGGCAGACATAGGGTGGGATCTCAGAGGCCGAGTACGTCCGGAGGAAACACCTCAACGTCGAATTTTGAACTTCAACATGAACTAGGCGGATCCCTTTCGGGTCTTCAAGCGGAGAATGGACAAATTCCTCCGAGGGCAAGGTCTACTTGGGGTTAACATCACAGTTATCATCCACATTGGTTGAGGCCATCATATGAGGCACTACTCACCTGCTTCGGCGAAGAACCCTGCAGAGAAGACAGAAATCCAGTCAACTTCTCCTTCTGTGACTGGCCCAAAGCTTTATACCCAGCCTTGACACCCTCAGCAGTCGAGTAATCCCATAGAAACCTCGCTATCGGGAGTAGACCTTGGGTGTTGTCTTGGGGGTTGAACTTGGGGTCACGCTTGATACGAGCTTCCCACGGAATCTCCATCGTGACAAAGTCTATACAAGATGCTTTACAGGTACTGGAGATGCAAGTGCCAAGATTCACCTTGATATATTTAGGACTTGTCGTGTCTGACTCCTCTGACGTAATGGTTGCCAGGGTGGCGTGTCAATCTGTGAAACATTGGGGGCGCAAAGATGAGCGCTAAGGGGCTGATCTCTGACAATCCATAAACGCGAATCCCTCTATTGAAGCCATCACTATCTGGTATCACAAACATCGACGAAAAAAAACTACAATGTAACACTTGGCATATTGCTTGTAGTCCACTCAAGGTTGTCAAAGAACAAACGTTGCGCGTCCATACAAGGGTTGTCGGGACAGAGACCCAGTTCTCAGCAGTGCCCCTCCAATCATATCGCCCACGTGCATACCAAATACAGCGGTCTAATTTCAACGTCGCCAAAACAGTAAAGGAGGTCGAGAACGAACACCATCTTCCCCCGTATAGAAATGGCGCTCTTATTTCCCAGATTTCAACCTCGTCGGGTTGCTCTCACAGCCGTCGTTCTAGCTGGAGCCTTTTACTGCATGAGCCAGTACATCAACATGTCTTCTCTCCCCAAAAGCGGCCTGCTAGCTGTCCTGACGGCTTCCTCGGACGTCGTCACTCAGGCGGTCGATCCCAAGTGGTACCCTCCGAGCAGTAACCAAATAAATAACCTCACCGGTGTGCTTCACGGTGAGGGGGTTTACGGCTTCATATACAACACCTCACATACGCCTGATGACGAGTATGGTGTTTACAACTGGTGCAACATGCCCCATGCCAGGAAGAAGGAGTACGTTAAGCCTTCTGATGATCATGAATTAATATACGTCGAGGTGGTAAGTCAAACTTGAGGTTTTCTCAGATGAGTTGTTTGATTCTTAACAGTTTTCTTCAGATTCAACGGCATCACAAGCGCACACCATATGCAGCCAACGCTTTCCCTGTCGAATCATACCGATGGGACTGCAATAACCAAGGTCTATACTACTTTGGTAAACCCTTCGATGAGGGACATAATCCCCCCGCCCAGGGATACTGGTCGGGCTTCACCTCCGATATCAACCCCTTCACCCCGTATGGGTTCGTCGGATCGTGTCAGTTCCCTCAGATCAGCGCTGGAGGTCTAGACGACTCCTGGGTCCATGGCAAGGACCTGTATGAGGTTTATCATGATCTCCTTCACTTTATTCCTGGTCGTGATGAAGACTGGCGCAGCAAGGTCAAGTTCAGAGTCACAAACAACCAAATCACAAGCCAGGTCGCAGGCATGTTTCTCAACGGCATGTGGCAAACAACAGATTCTGTTCCCTTGCTTATCCAGCAAGCAGACATTGACAGTTTGGAGCCCCGGTACAGCTGCGCTGTTGGAAAGAAATTGACCAATGCCATCATGTCATCATCCAACCGCGAGTGGCAGAAGCACTTGACTGAAGGCCAGATTCTTTTCGATACGTTGGATGATATTTCGGGTGTTCCCAAGGATGATCAGGGCTTTCACGTTAGCTTCGACCATTACTACGATAACCTCTCTGCTCGGCAATGCCACGACAAGCCCCTGCCATGCAAGCTAGTCGACGGCAAGAACTCTTCAACCTGTGTGGATCAAGAGCTTGCAGAAGCCGTCTTCCGCATGGGTCAGTGGGAATACTCACAAATGTACCGTGACGCCCCTGCATCTCTCGCTGCCTCGTTTACATCGTATGGCGTTTGGATTGCAGAGTTAGCGAGTCATCTCCGCGGAGTCATGGCTGGCAACAGAGAAACCCTCTACTTGCACAACTTTGCTCACGACGGTTCCATGAGCCGAGTCCTGAGCATTCTTCAAATCGATGTCATGGTTTGGCCCGGCATGGGCAGCGAGATTGTATTTGAACTATACAAGAAGAGTTCTACCAAGTCGAGAGATGAGAGCAGTTCAAGTGGTGAGCCTGGATATTACGTGCGAGTTCTATTCGGTGGCAAGCCGTTGAAGTCATCGAACCCGAACCTGGGGGTGATGGAGATGGTACCTGTTGAGACTCTTCTCGCCTACTTTGACGGTCTCACGGGCAAGGATGGCAATGAGGTGAAGGGCAAGTGTGATGGTTCCATCCCAACTTGAGGATGAAGAAAGGATAGACTAGATCGAATTTTGGGATTAATCAACGCCATGGGACATAATACAGCAATCATAAACGAATAATAACAAAACAATATCACTCCCATTCTGAAGGCAATTCTCATCACTGTCCAGCCAGTCGGGATCCTTGAAGCTCAAAGAAGGATTCCCCATGCAAAAGCGAAACGTTGATTTATAACACCAAGTACAGCTGCACAGGCAAAGCCACTTACAGCGAAACAGGTACATGACCGGCCTTGATTCAGTAGAGGAGCAGGGCGGTCGATATAGCAACAGTCAATATCCTCTTTCGAGCCCCCTGCAACATTTGACTTCATAACCTCACCCATTATGCTCTCTCTAAGCCAGGTTCGTCTACAAACACACCGATTGGAGGATCAAGATCCTTCCTAGCGAGTGCAGCCCAAGCTTTAGAAACAGCCAAGCAATATTCCGTCAGCATTCCATGGCATGAGGCCAGACGCAGGCTTGAGCCGAGCCAAGCTGAAGTGCCGTTCTTGGACATCGATCCGACGGACAGGCCCGTAGGTG